ATCAAACCAAAATATTTTACTAGTTAAATTTAGTAGGAATAACACGATCTGTGACGTAGGCTATAGTATACCCAATTGTCAGGATTTACCTAAAGGTTCACCCACAATGACGTCACTTCCAGATATCAGATTGAATTATTATCCTGGATTACTTTTAAAATTTAGAGATATATAAAGAAGAGCTAGGACAAAACGATTTTTTTTCTTCAAATTTCCAGTTAAAAAGAATAAGAAAAAAAATCTTGTAATTGTTTTGATCTTAAAATAATCTTTAAACATTAATTTAAAAATTTACTGGGGAAAAAAATTTTAAGCAATATTTTTAAAACACTAAAATTTCCAAGTTGACTGCAAGTAAAATTATTATGCCAAGTCTTTAAATAAGGTAGTTTGTATCAGAAAAAGATGCTTTGGTAAACATCTCCATAATGCTTACATTCTGCAGTTGATTTTCTCAAACTCACAATGTTTGGACACATTCTGCAGACGATTTTATTGAACTCATTTTGTGAACGTTTTTAAATTTTTCCCAAAACTTTAACACAGTTCTGATTTGGTAATTACTAATGTTTAAATTATTCAAAATAACGCTAATTGTTTAAATAGATCCAGAGAATGTTTAAATAATCTGAAACAGGGAAGTTAAATATACCCTTACCTGTCATTAACAAATGAATACATAAGCAATCTCTCTTCGATGATTTTCTTAAATTCCGGACTTTCGTTGAGAAGATCTCGATAATTATCATTGGACACAACAATGCCATCACTGTCAACCGCCAACTTCAAAATGTAACGATCGTCGTAACATACTAATCTGCGGCCACCTACGTGCCGCGAGGGTGTAAACACTAAAAGGCGTTCTTTTTCTAGCTGAGCGAGAATGTCCTGGTCTGAAAACACAACAAGAATATTCAAATTTATTGTAAAAATAAAGCAATTTTAGGTGCATTGTATTTTTAAAAAAGAAAGACAGAAGGAGAATATTTCAAGCATAACCAACGTAGAAATTAATAAATATTTGTAATTCTGTTCTTTAAATGGCGATATTCTCACCTTTAATAGGTGCATCAGGTCTGGAATTTTCTTTTCTCCATCTAGGTACAAAGACGGTGATGTTTTGATGACCCCGGGCACGAAACCAATCGACACAGATTTTAATGCCCCGACAAGAAAAACAGTCTTTGTTTCCATGACTAAAAAAATAAAAATAATAATTTCATGAGCACAAAAAATTCAATCATGCTATTTAGAAATATAAAAAAGGCAAGCATGCTATTTAGAAACATTTTTCAAAACTACCCATTCAGTTAACTTTAGAGAGTTGTGATAGCTAACTTCCACGAAAATTATACATCGATTATAAAATCCATTAAAGCGCGTGGAAAAATTAATTCAAGTTTTAATCCCCATTAACTAAAATAGTTAAAAGTCAAAATCTCTAACCTGAAAGTTCAATTTCATTTTACGTTCAAAAATCACATGAAATAGCATTTTAAAACTCGGGAAACTTACCTGAAAACCTAACAATGCATTATTTAAATAAAAAATAAGTTACTTTTATAAAGATTTTTAGTTAATCAAAACAATTTCAGCTTTGCCAAGTCCCGTTATTCTCTTATTTATATATTTTTAAATTTGGTCTCACACTTTTCTAGAAAAAGAGGACAATTAATTGAAAGTACAGAAGATTGTTTTACCAGCATAAGATTTAGTCACATATTCGAACTAAACTGATTACAGAGTTCAATGACACAAGAGCTAGTGCTAAACCACGAAAAATTAACACGATATTTCGGATTCTAACTAGTGAAATTACACTAGTAGAAATTATTAGTTTAAATCACATAGCAATATAAACTAATTTTGACGGTAATATAAACTAAGTGAGAAAAAAACATCGAAAAAAAAATCACTGAAGTACTGAGTGAGGAACTAAGTCAAAGGGTATTATATTAATTTTTTACACTTAGGCACTTATGTAGGATTGCAATGGATTTTAGTAATTTTGATTCCAAACTCACTTTGTTTGATTCATTGAATTGTATGTCAATTTTTTTAAACTCAAATTACGAATATAAGTATTCATCACGCAGTGATGAATATTTATAATCGTATTGAGATTACAAGGTGTTTAAAAAATTGTCGAAAGATTTACCCTTTTCACATAGTATTTGGCAAATTCACGTTTTGCGCATGCTTTATAAAGAACCGAGATTGTTTTGTAGTTACTACATTGCACAAAAAACATACATAATCATGTGGGAAGTTGCATGAAACTGGTGCACCCTGAAATTATTAATAAATCATGCACCCTAAAATTTCCTTGAATCTCATAATAATTTTAGGATGCGTGACTGCGTGAGTAATTCCAAAAACAATTTCTGTACATTCCTTTACATTTATTAGAAAAATCCAAAGAATTCTCAATATATTAGTGACATAAATTTATAGTGACAACTACGACAAACGAAACTTCACAGAAAATACTAGTACCACATGATAAAATCTCAAATTTTGTTAACATACTAAGATATACAATTCCTGAAAAAAGTGAATGAAAGAAAAACAATCGCCAAGAAAGAGAGGTGTGGCCTGAATCTTAAGTCATTTTCAACAATTATCTATGTTCGAGATACAAAAAAGGCAACTAATGCCCGCAAATTTCCGGCCCTGCTGCTGCATTCATTCATGAAAAAATGAACCCACGTTATATGATGGGAAGGGGGGTATGGGCGTTAAGAAGTAAATTGATGTCGGTTCAAGCACTACAAAAGGTAGGATAGCGAACAAGGCGTGACCCATAAGGCGGGAGGGGGTCAATCTTCGAATCTTCCACATTCCATCCAGGCCCTTATTACCTGATAGGTTCAAGGCTTATCAGTTTCAAAATCCTTTGAGTAGAATGTTGCTAACTTTCATTAGCAGCGAAAACTGCATCCAATCTGATAATCAAATGGCCATTCGTAGTTTTGCAAGTGATTTTCAGAAAAATTTCTAATTTCGGAGGCAAAAGCCGGGTAGTCTCGATTTTTTCCAGATTGTTTACGAAAAAAAAAGCTTTAATTACTTCTTACTTTATTTCTTAACAGGTAAGTTATTTGTTACTTGTTAAGAAACAATTAACTTAACAAATTAATTTAAATTATAACTTCCCTAATTTTAGTTATAAAAGAATAAATTTTTGAATATGAATGGAAAAAATTATCCCTTGGCGTTTGCGTAACATTCTAATGAAGTTGTACACAAAACTCGGCTCTTTAAATTATAATATATTGCAAATTTACTGTTAAACTGAATGGAATAATAGGTTAAAATATGTTCCGATTTAAGGCAATCCCGCATTATGGAGTGTAAAATTGCAGAATGCAAACACCTTGTTGAAGCAAATTTGCGTGATATTTACCGGCAACGAGTGTATAGCAAATACTTTCAAATCCAGATGGTGAAAAGGGAATAAATTACCTTTCAAATTAAACTAACAATAAAAACTCTCTTGAGAATGTTCATAAGCAAAACCTGCTTCTAAATTAACACATCCTCATTCCAAAAAGCTTTAGTTCTCTTGAATGACACGGCATTAAAATAAACAACTGCTGAAACTACCATCAGGTCAATAGGAAAAAAGTCTACTTGGATTAAAGGATCAATGCCCTCTTCGAAGATCAAATACAAAAAGCTGATAGTTTTTTTCTTCTTTTTAAATGTATAAAGAACAAAAATTTTTCGATAGCCTTATGTATAACGTAAATTAACATTTAGCCGGATTATTCCTTTATGGACTTACATTTACAGTGGTAAGCAAAAAAAAAACTTACTAAGATCGGGAATTTAACAATTAGAAAGCAAACTACACATTTCGACTCTTAAGTGTAAAGGCTAAAACATTATTTTACATAATGATACATACTATACAGTATAATTAACCGACTTTATAACCCTCACTTCTTTGATCCTAGATAACGATATGTTTTTATTTCTCAAAGTCTAACTTAACGTTTTTGAATTGGTACAACTATTAGGTCTTAAGAGCGAGGATGAAATTTAACTAGAATATGTCAAATTTAACAGCTTATGATTTGACATTAGCGGAGCCTGACATACGGGGTAAATGCCCCGGCCCACATCAGAGCGGGCCCCTAAATCGAATAGAAAATTTATTTTAGATTTCCTTCTTCAGTGAACTTTTTTTAAACAAAATATCAGTACAGTGTAAAATATTATATAAAATTTGTAAATCCACGGCTTTCTAGTGCGGAATTCAGCTATATTTTCACAATTACGATGGGCAAATTTGGCCAATCAAAAGCCTGTATTTTTACATATCGCATTTTGCAATATGTTTACAAAAATACAGGCTTCTGATTGGCTTAAGTGAGCCAATGTAATTGCGAAAATTTAGTTGAATTCTGCCCTAATGTCAACAAGGATATGAATTTTTCGTAGCTAGATGACAAAGTTAACAATCAGAAAACTGCATTCGGCATGATGGGCAATTGTCAGAAAATAAATAAAATGGACAGAACGATATTTCGTCTGATCATTGGAGGGGTTTGGACTTCATAGCTATTTTAGGTTATAGTAAATTTTCTTGTAATATGTGTATAATAAGGTGAAAAATTTAAATTCCTCCATAATTTTCAATTCTTCATTACTGAAGTAGTGAATCAGAGGGGGGCCCCAAAGAAATTTTCGCCCAGGGCCCAAATTAGGCTAAGTCGGGCCATTGGACATTAGCTTAATATTTAAGGTTTTTTTCATTTATTGAAAAGTTACATATCTCACCAGTAGAACGAAATCCTCTTTAGGTCTAAGAAATACCTAAGACACTTTTTTAAAATTAATTTTATTGAAAAGGGAATAGACAGAAATTCGCATTGTAACGAAGTATGAGTTCTAACGTGGTACTATGCAAAATATTAATAGTGTGCACAAACCACGCGGAATATTAATAGTTAGTGTATTTGGCTATACTATTAGTTGACTTAAAGTGATAGTTCAAAAGGATGAATCACAAAACACACTCCAAAGCGTAATATCCGACAAATAAAACTTTGGTGGCACAGTTTATGATTTTATGAAACCTGGCTCATCGATCACAATAGAAATATACTACAACTGAGTAGACAAAATTACATAAAAATTTAAGAAACATAACCTAGATCGTCAACAGATCGTCTCCCGTTTTATTGCATGGCACTTCCAAACTACACAAATAACTATGACAATGTTACAAGAATTGGAACTTCTTCGTCATCCTCCATACTCACTAAACCTAGCCCCCATTGAGGAGTACTACTTTTTTCTCAGTTTGAATAACTTTCTAATAGGAAAAAAATTTATTCCAAAAATATTGTAAAACTAGCCTGAACAACCAGCCGCTTACATGGCTAGAGTGTAGAGAAAATTTAGGCGCATACTTTGAGGAATGAAATATTCTTTTAGATTTGTAAGATCTCGTATGAAGTATTTGGTATCCATCAACTTTTTTTTTTCCTACAAATTTTATACTTGGCTTCTTAAAAGACACTAGACAATAATACGTATCGGCTATTCGCAGACTAGATATAACGAATGAAGCCCCTCCCATAAAAATGAAAGAAGATATTTATGCTTTGTTTATTATTTTTCTTCCAGTTAATTTTTTTTTTTTTTTGGTGGGTGTTTTCCACAAATTAATTTACTTACAAATACTTTATCTTCCCCAAGTACAAAAGTAGCCGAGTATAAGATTCACTTGTCTAGTTTAACGAATTGAATAACGATAGGTAAAGGCATTAAAATTTCATTATTATTACCATTATATGAGACTTTAACTAATCATAATAGGTTTAGATACGTGTTTCCTGTTTACAGAATAATTGCACAATTCGTCAAAACTAGTTTCCGAAACATAAAATAAAAATAAACGTCAGAGTTACAAAGAATAGCTCCTATGAATCCAACGCTAGACCATACAGCACACAAAAAAGCCAAGTTAAAAATAAATAAATAATAAAATTACATATGTCAAAATAGTTCCGGGATATAGTGATCAACCGGATAAAAACACTAAACATGAAAGTTTGAAGGAGAAGAAGAAAAAAAATATTAAATAAAAATAAGTGCCATAATATTTTTAAATGCACGTTTTCTTTTGAAGGAGAAGAATAATTTGTGCATCTTCAAAATCACTGATCCCATCATACATCAGTCG